TATTCATGTGATATTATTTTCAACAAATATTTTTATTATTTATTTATGTTTTTTGTAGTAATTTTTATTTAATAAGATATTAAATGTATAAAAAAAMTTATATATATTTTTTTTASTTACAAAACAATRTAAWCTATGTAAATATTATATATATATATTATAGTATATGTATGTAGGATGTAATGTAATATTAAATATTTAATTTTTTTATTTTTTGATAACATGTTGACCCAAAAAATATTTAGTTTTTTTTGTTGTAATACTATAAGTTTTATACAACAATAACAAAAAAAATTAATATATTTAAATAATAATGTTTTTGTTTTTTTTTTATCATTCACTGAATAGTATCACCATATTTGTCRAAAAATAAATGTTTTATTTTATAAATAAAAAATAATATTAAAATAAAAAATTTGAATTTGATATACATATAGTTATTTACATAGATTATTATTATTATTATCAATATTATTATTTTATTATGCAAATTATGGGCACCAATATTTGTATTTTTTTAAATAAATAAATTAAAAATTAATTTATAATTTATAATTTTTTTATTTATTTATGTAAAATTGTTTAATTAATGTTATATTTTACTAAAAATTATTTTAACTATAAATGTAAATATATATAGTGTTAGATATAGTGTTAAAATWTAAAAAAAATAATTATTTCCATTAAACTAAATAATTAATTAGAAAATTTATAAAATATTTATWATTATTATATATTTAATATGATATGATATAATTATCAAAAAAATTATACTAATWATTAAAGTAATTTTATTTAATATTATTATTATWATTATTAAATTGTTGTTGTTATGCCAATAGTTAATGTATTTWTATCGGGTGAATATATATTATCATCTCCCTGAGCTATTAATTATTAGTATTATTATTATTATTATTATTATTTATTATATTTTTAGACATCACTTGTGTTACCTGAGCAACAACATCACTGATCGGCACATTTAKTATATATATATATACTATAAGTGTATAAATAAATATATATATATATATTGATATTCAATAATGAAAATAATACTAATAATGTTATAATACTAGTAATATATATATATATATATATATATATATATATATAATATGATATGTAATTTATTTTATAGATATATTTATACTATTAATATAACTACTATTAATGTTTATCTAGTAGTAGTAGTAGTAGTAATTGTARTGATAGCTAAGCGATAAATCGCATAATGAGTTATATATATATATATATATATATATATATATATACTRTATATATATATATGATATAACAATATAAAAGTATAATACATGACTGCCTGCACTTTATGCTACATAAGCGTAAAAATAAATCTACATTTCTCTCTCTCTCTCTCTCTCTCTCTCTCTCTCTCTCTCTCTCTCTCTCTCTCTCTCCTAAATAATAGTTGATTATTATTATTATTATTATTATTGCTAAGTCTTATATATAGTTARGCTATAAATCTTTTAAAACTCATCCATAAAATCATAGGCACACAGAAAATCCTTATCAATATTTTTCTCACTTTTCTATCTATCTATATATCTATATGTTTAACGTTTGATATGTTTGAKAGCACCGGGAGTTGATGCTGAATATAGTGTATAGTTTCAGAGACAGTATAGTAAWAGAAAACTACTAGTCCTAGACAATAGAGTCAAATATATATATATATATAGAGGAATAGTATGTGTTTGTATGAACAGTTAGATTTTTACTATAATACAGTATAATACCATCAAAAAATTTATTATGCCAATCACATTAGCTTAGTTGGCATATAAATAAAATAAAGTACATAACAGTGTGTGTGTRTGTGTGTGTGTGTGTTTGCAGTGCACAGTTAGCTTTAATTTTAAAATCAAATAATACTAATAATAATACTCTATATATATATATATATAATTTTATAGTTTACTTGAATTAATAYATGATAGAGAAACTGGTATATATGATTTGTATGAATTTTTTTWTTTTTTGTTTTATTTTTGTTGTTGTTGTTTTTTGAATTTTTATTATATTTATTATTTAAATGCATTCAATTAYYCCAATGGTTGAGTGTGTGTGTGTGTCTATTGAATCGCTAATCCTCACACACACACACACACATATATATATATATATATACATACACACATACATACACAGTGTGTATTACACACATACATATACACATACATACATATACACATACATACATACACACACATACAWACACACAMATACACACAYACAYACACACACACAYACAYACACACACACACACACACTGTGTGTATCATTCAATATCTCCCCATAATATTGTAGTGATTATTGTTTTAAGGGTCTCATGTGTTTTGAACAGTACTGTACATACAAACAAACTGTTTCAGTAATCTCTATGTATGTGTGTGTGTGTGTGTGTGCGACACAACATAACTGTGCRCCAAATACTACACACACACAGTGTATACTTTAATTAATTGATTAAAGGATTTATCGTTTAAATAATTATAAACTTTGTATTTTATATATTTATATATATATATAGTATGTATTGTATAGTTAGATAAACATTAAATATATTACATTATTGATTATATATAAATATATATATACTGTTAGTTGTATGGGTAGTATATACATGTATAGCATACTAAATGGGAAAAGTATAGTTGAATTTTATTTTCAAGTATTGATTAAATAATTTTAATTTTAGTTTTTTTTGTCWTTTAATAAAATATTTATTTTATTAGTTAAAAGTTTAGATTTATTTAATTTATAAATTATATGATATATATATCAAAAAACTATTTTTCATTCAAATCTTAATATTGAATTGAATTAAAATTTTTCTRTAAATATTTACATTAWATATTAATTTTTGTAATTTAATAAAAATAAAATCTGATATAAATATTTTATAAAATAAATTAATTTGATATCATATTAAWAWATAATTAATTTTCATCCATATTTTATTATTATTATWAYTATACTATTAAATATAATATAATATATTTTATGATTTATTATTTTTAATGAYTCAAAAATATTATATATATAATGATAATAATAAATATTAATAATAATAATAWTTCATTCAATTAACTATTTTGTGTGTCATTTTAGTGAATTGTGTTTTGATATATATATATATATATATATATATATATATGAATATAAAAATTATTATTAATATATTATAATACAATTTATATCTATTAGAGATTACATGAGAGAGAGAGAGAGAGAGAGAGAGAGTGAAATATAAAATAAATTGTGTTTAAAAATCACTGAAATATATACTGTATATATAAAAAAACTAAATAATAATAGTCTAGACTATTATATTATATTATAATAATAGTGTGACTGAATTTGAGAGCACTGGTATGTTATATATATATATATACATATATATACTGTAWTATTATTATTATAAAAAATATAATGATATGTGAATTGTTTGAGATGTCATATATATATATATATATATATAGTGTAGTAAAATATTATAGACTAAATGATCAGWAAAAATAAATTTTATAGTATTTTATATTTTGCATATTATTTATCATTTTATAATATTTTTTTTTTTTCGAGTTTWTAWATTATTTTTCAACTATTTTTTCCTCAACAGTGTATTTCAATAAATAACTATTGAGTGACTGTATGAATGTATAAAGTAGTGAATAAATCACAMAAAATAATAATAATAATACAAAAAAAATATTTTTGGTGTGTTTTTTATATACAATATATATATATATATATATAAAAGTAATTTATCATCAAAAAAATTGTTTATAAATTTTACTTTATATTATATATAACTATATATATATTTTTTTGAAAAAATTAATAAACTATTTTTCATCATCAAAATTGTTTTGAAAATTCAAAATTTTATTTCAATATTCAACTATTATTTATATATATATATATATATACTATATATATACACATATATCTATGTTTTATAAAAATAGTTATWTATATATACCTTTAATATTAATATATATATATAAATTTAAATTATTTATATATATATATAATTTATATAAATTTGATAAAAAATGTATTTTTTGGTTTATTATTAAATTGKCAACAAATTTAAATGCATTGAAATTATTGTTTATATACAATATCTTAGAAATTTAGTTTTTAAATATACAAAAACCATACAAATATATATRTATATAAAYTTWAAAAAAAATTGAATTATGTTTTTCATAAATTTTTATTTATACTACTATTTTACAAATTTATATATTAATATATATGTCTATATATTTAAACCTTATATATATTCAATGCATTTTAAACATTGATTTTTTTGCTGTTTTGCTATTTGTAYACAATATATATTTAAATACATTTCTTTTAAATGTAWTTTTTTGGGTTATTTTCTATTATAAGTGTTATAACATTACTATTACTACTACTACTGTATAGTAGTTATGATGAAAAGGCAATTGAATTGAAAAATAGATTTATTTTTGTTTAGATTTATATTTTTTTGCCCTCAAAGAGAAAGTCATTAACACAAACACACAAAAAATATAACCAAAAAATATATATATTTTACAACAAATGTTAGGCAAAAAAATATATAATAATAATAATAATAATAATAATTTTTCTTGATTTCAAACTTTTTTTGTTGTTACTCGACTATCAATTTATATATATATAAGTGAAAAACATTTGCATTTATATCTAAATAATTGAATATTATATATATATATATATATAAATGATATGCAAAATAAAAACCACAGAATATTCTTATACTGTGTTTGAAAATTGATATATATTTTTAAAAAATAAAATAAAAAACATTTATATATATAATATATATATAATATATGCTAAATATTTATTAATAATAATTAATTTTTTTAATATACATATAAATCATTTGAAAACACACAGAAAAAATTATTAATTTAATAATAAATTTTATTTTTATTTTTACTTAATTACAGGAATAGAAAAATGCGGGACAGCCTACAAAAATCCATGTCCGGCGCACCCGATTGGCTGCCCAAATGTATAAGGGGTGGACCAAAACAGCCGCCACCCGACGGCACCAATGGCGGTGGCAATGGTATTGGTCTGCATACTGGCCATCAAGCAGGTGGCGGCGGTGGTGGCGGTCATATGTTTACAATAGGTGCTAACGGGGGCGTAATCGGTGCACCGCCATCGCCGATGATCAGGGCCAGTGGTCATCATCATCATCACAAAAGTCACTATCAGCTACACCCGCACCTGGATGTCGGCACCGGTGGTGTTGGTGGCGGTGGACAGGGACTGAATGCCATACACAGCGGATCCTTACAGCAGCTCAGTGTGGGTACACCTCATACTAATCAAACAAACTCCTTGTCCTCGCATCTAACCTATCAAACACCCCCACCAGGTATTGCACTCATCAAACAAACAAACACTATACCTATGAAAACACCTATTTTTGTTATTGTTTTTATTTGCTTATGTAATTAATGCCTATGCTATTGATGCCTATGCTATGCTTATGTTTATTTTGATAATATTTTTATGATTAAAATATTATTATTATTGCTTATGAAAAATACAATTTATACAACTTATAGTTATATTATATTTTTTGTTGTTTGTTTGCACTTAATATATAAATATATATATCACTTATCAAATAATATTATATATATATATTAATACAATGTATTACTTATATACAGAATATATATGATATATATATTTATTAATGCATTTTCACTGCCAGTTTCACTAACTAATCACAAACACTTGCACTTGTAATGTGTGTGTGTGTGTGTGTGTGTGTGTGTGTGTGTGTGTGTGAGTGTGTGTGTGTGTGTGTGTGTGTGTATTGAACGTGTAATTCACAAATAAAGTTATATAATATATATTAGTTTTTTGCTTATTGAAGGAATGTCTATCCAAATAGCTTCTGTAGTTAGGAAACAGTGAGTGAGTGAATGAGAGAGAGAGAGAGAGAGAGAGAGAGAGAGAGAGAGAGAGAGAGAGAGAGAGAGAGAGAGAGAGAGAGAGAGAGAGAATTCCTAGCAATTCCTTACGAGAGCTCCGGTACTTAAAATCACATACCATTCCCTTTATTATATATATGCTATACTATATGCTATTACTTCTAGTTTCTCACTCACTCACTAACACTCACACACACACACACTCACCCGCTTATTGCCATTAAGTGAATGGTGTGTGTGTTTTTGCATGACTTAAGCATTGATTTTGTTTTTCACTTATACTATAATATATATAGTATTATACAATATATTACATATAAGGAAACATATATCGATTTTTGTTTTAATTTATATATATATTTTGTGCTAATTATTATTCAATACTTTTTGTTTGTTTGTTTGTTTAATATCTAAAATATATCTTAACTTTTTTTGTATGCTATCATTGCATTAATCTATATATATATATATATATATATATATATATCTTATTGCATGTATTTTTTAATCACAATTTATTTGCATATATATATATAATGTTTCACTTTATTTTAACTAACTTTTACTAATAAACTATGGTTTTCAATGGTGTTTGTTTGGTTGGTTGGGTGGGCGGGTGGGTGGGTGTGGTGTTTGGTATCTTTCTATATATTTATTATATATATATTATCTGATTATTATTAATAGATATATATTGAAAACATTTTGATTTTTTCACTATTACTCAAAAAAAAACTTTATTTTTTCCAAATATACACTCATTTATTATAATACATGACTAACAAAAAAATTGCAAATTTTTCAAACAAAAAATATTACATTCAATACTAATATGAATAATGTTTGAATACATTATATATAACTTATATAAGTATTTATTATCTTTAAAGATATTATTATTATTATTATTGATATATATTTTTAACCCCTAATTTCCAAACAATTGCAAACAATTGCATACAATTTATGATAAAAAAAATATCTATATATATATATAAAACAATTTTCACCCTTTTTTATTATTTTTTTTAAAAAATACTTTAACCATTGATTTAAAAAAAAAACCAAATTATTAGTAGTATTATAAACATAAAGTACAAACACACTTAAAAATAACTACAAATTTTTTTGTATAAACAAAAATTTATATAAAAATATTTTACATTATATATATATAATACGGAATATTTTGTGTGTATTTATGAAAAAAAATTATATATTTTTTAGTTATCAAAAAATTTTTTTGTGTTAAACAACAAAAAATAAATTGATTTTTTTTATATAGAAAAGACTCCCAACTAATAGATATAATGAGAAAAAAAATTTTTTTTAATGAAATCTCATCTCATGTTTTAAAGACTATTATAGTAATACTACTAATAATATTAAAATTTTGAAAAATTTATTTTTAATGTTATTATACATGAATTTTTTTTTGTTGTTGTTGTCGTTCCCTTATATTTTTATAGCAAAAAATATTATATATAATATATATATTTTTTATAAAAAAAACTTAAAACTAATGTGCGATTTGATCCACCAGTCCATTAGTAGTGTATGGGGTATAACCTCAATAAAAAACATAACATAACATTACATACACACACACACACACACACACATACACACATACACACACATACACACATACATACACACACATACACACACATACACACACATACACACACATACACACATACATACACACACATACACACACATACACACATACACACATACATACACACACACATACAACTATTTAGTGCAAAACACTGGTAGTTAAGCTAATAGTTATTGTGTGTGTAATTTATTATGATATGTATTTTTTAATGTAAAATACATAGTTAAGTGATATATATATACACATACACACACAATTTTAAGTTTAAAATTTTTTATTTTTTAATAGATTATATATATATTTTTATGACAATTTTTTAACTACACTTAAAGCTAGAGAGAGAGAAAGAGAGAGAGAGAAAAAAAATTTTACTAAATACTAAAAGATAACTAAATAGTATCACATTTTTTTTATTTATATATATAATCTCATTAAATTAGATAAAAATAATTATTTAAAGCAAAATTGTCAATATATCAATATATATATACATTATATATATATATAGTTTATAATTAAATTACTAATCTATATATATATATATACATTGTTGCATAACTAACTTAAATTTATTTATAGATTTAAATATTTAAATATTTTCTTCAAGTTTATTGTTGTATAGTATATATGAGTTAATAGTACTATATATATATATTTTTGCTCAACAAAACTAAAAGAAAAATGTTTAAAATTTAAATATATTAAGTATTGGTATTTTTTTTATCTCTATCTAAAAAAATATAAAGTTAGTTTTAGGTTACCAACAGCAAAAAATACAAAAAAAAAATAAAATAAAATTTTAAAGTTAATTGAAGCTTGATAATGAAAATTTAAATATATTTATATATTTTTTTCTACAAACATAACTATTTTATACTATACTATACTATACTATGATATGTTTGTCAAAAAACAAAATACTCGCACCGTTAGCCTAACTATTACATTATTATTTGCACCGTTAGCTTAGATATATATATACCCGTATATATATGGCATTTCAATTTCATCATATGGTTCACACACACACAGTGTGTGTGTGTGTGTGTTATTAACACTTGAATTTTTCACGTATTTTTTTATTTTAGTTATTTTTTTGTCGTTGAATTGAAGTTTTAGATGATTTAGTTTCTCTCTCTCTCTCTCTCTCTCTCTCTCTCTCTCTCTCTCTCTCTCTCTCTCTCTCTTAAGTTTACACTTTGTTTAACACATACACACACATTGAATATAATACTATATACTGTATGTGTGCCCTAACCCTACCAGAGCGCTGCTTAGGGATTGTGATATTGAGTGTGTGGGGGAAGGGGGGGAGGTGGAGAGGGGGACGACAAGATGAAAGTATTATATCATACAGTTTATATTGTTTTTGACATCTAATTTATGCAACAAAATAAAAACTAAACTAAAAAAACTACTGTATATTTATTTTTATATTTAGTTTTACAATTGGCTGTCTAAGTGTATTGTTTAGTATTTAAAAAAAATAAATTACAAAATATATTTATACATATTTATCATTGTGTTTCATAACTACTTAAGTATATTTAGAGAGAGAGAGAGAGAGAGAGAGAGAGAGAGAGAGAGAATACTATATATATCGTTATGAAACCCCATGGGTATAGATAGGGAGGGGAGTGTAGGGTTAACTATACATAGGATGTATAGCAATTTTTTTTTAAAAAAAGTTAACTCATTAATACCAACCATTTCCCCACAAATTTTCAAGCACATGGATCCTTGTGCTGAGCTGAGCCCCCYTTTTACCCCTATAGGTATATTTAACACCATTTTTCACCCAATTTTAATTTATTATGTGATTCATTTAGACACATAAAAAACAGAAAATGGATTTATTTGTCGTTTTTATTTTTTTAAAAAAATAATATAATATATTATAATATTTTAATTGTTGTCAACATTTCCCTACCCCTACTGTATATATATATAGCCATTAATATTATACATTAATTTAAATACAAAGACAATGTTTTTTTTGTGGAAATATTTTGTTTTTATAGATTGTAACTAATATTTTGTAGAAAATATATTTTGTTTTTTATATTTAATTAAAAATATTTTATATAATAATTAGTTAAAACTATAACAGTAACGAAAGTTTCAAACAAACAAACAAACAAAAAACAATTTGTTTCTCAACTTTATTTTATTTAGTCATTCAAAAAATTATTTTGCAATTTAATCAAATAATAGTAATAATAAGTGAAAGTATTTTTTTTGTTGCCTCAATGTGTGTGTGTGTGTGTGTGTGTATGTGTGTGTGTATGTGTGTGTGTGTGTATGTGTGTGTGTGTATGTATGTTTGTGTATGTACTGTATGTTTTTGTGTGTGTGTGTATGTACTGTATGTGTTTGTGTGTGTGTGTGTGTGTGTGTGTGTGTGTGTGTGTGTATGTGTGTGTTTGACTTGACGTCAAACAAACAAACAAAACAAAAAACAAACAAAAATTCATCTTATTTTTTAATATATACACACACTTTGCTGACAACAATGATTTTTTGTGTGATTTTGAAATCTAAAATAAATAACAATCAACTCATGCCTTAACAACAACAAAGTCATTGAGTGATGGATAGACAGATAGCGAGTGAGTGAGTGATAGAGAGTGAGTGAGTGAGTGAGAGAGAGAGAGAGAGAGAGAGATATTCAAATACAATACAATATAAAATAAAATACAATTTTCTTTTTTATTTCAAACAATTTTTTTTAAAAAAAAAATAACTGTGATTTTGATGCAAATTTTTTGTGAGTGTTTGAATACATTTACACACTGTGTGTGTGTGTGTGTGTGTGTGTGTGTGTGTGTGTGTGTGTGTGTGTGTATGTGTGTAAACATTACGCCAAATGGCGATAAAAAAAACTAGTAGTAGTTTTTTATTATACAATATAAATATATATTTATATTATATATATATATTATTTTTTATATCTTTATGTCTAAACAACTACTACTAGTTTTTTTTAGTTGAGCCCAACTTTTATCTCTAACATAACACACACACACACACACACACATAAAAAAATACAATACAATGTACACGTATTTTTGTATAAATGTTTTGTATAAACGTTATTATTATTATATAGTAACAATAATATCAGTATAAAGTTTTTTTTGTGTTGTTGTTGTGTCAAAAACACTATAAAATACACTGAATTTTTTTTGTTGATGTTATTGTTATATATAATACTGTATTTACTGTATATATATATATATATAATGTACAGAATATTCTTTACTTTATATATATATATATATATATATATATATATATATTTATGTTTGTTAAACATTGATATATATATACATATATTTCTTATCCCTATTTAATCCTTTTTCCGCATGGATTCCGTGGTGCTTATGTATGTATAGTTTAAATACCAGTTCCCTCTTTACTTACTATCTAATAGTCCTCTCTCTCTCTCTCTCTCTCTCTCTCTTTATTTATTTTCTTATCTATTAAAATGCATATCTCCCGAGCTGTCAGTATCTCCCAAAACAGTGTCAAACTCAAAAACACATACCGTTTCCCCATCCTCTCCCCTCTCCTCCCTTTCCCATACACTTGAAAATGTCGTTCCCATATATACTGTATATATATATATACAGTATATCTCATTCAACTTAACTATAACTTAACTACAGTAGTGAGACATTTTTAAACATTTGAAATTTCATAATGACTATTGTGTCTATTGGGTTGTCATATATATATATAAAGTTTATATATAAAAGACTATATATTTAAGTTTTTAAATACATGAAAGAGAGAGAGAGAGAGAGAGAATCCACCAAAAAAACTAACTGTGCAACACATTAGCATTAACTATTATTTACCATCCCCTTCCCTAACTATGTTTTTGAATAATACCATATCTCCCCTCTACCTAACCGCCCGATCCCCACACACTCACACACACACACACACTAAATATAGTCACAGTTTCCTATTGTTATTATTATTATTATCTCTGATCACAAGTGTCTGTCTCCTATATATATGTTTGTATATATATATATGTATAAAGTACTTATCAATAGAGAAGCACTTAATTTTCATCCCTAACCTCTCTCTCTCTCTCTATCTCTCTTTCTCACACATAACCTCCCTATCCATCTAAATGTTAGTAACCATTAATATCCGACCATTTTTTTGTGTGTGTGTGTGTATCGTTGCCTACAACTAAACAATAGTAGAGATTTTAATCCCCAGAATCTTAACTGTAAAATATTTGTATTGAAATACTATATATATATTAAAAAAGTGATAAAACATTTTTTAATATTACAATACTATACCGTATATATATATATATTTAATATAAATAGAAATATACCGTAAAACTATATAATAAGCTTTTTTATGATTATTATGATTATTATTATTACAGTACTACTATAACTATTACTATATAGGGAACTATTTATCAAATATTTGACATTTTTATAACTTTAATATTTTATATATATATAAATAAATCCATATAAATAAATATATATATATATATATATATATATATATAATATACAATCTATACAAACAACTGTGTATTTTTGATGTCACATCCCATGTGTTTGATATTTGTCTCTTTAAAAAATATATATATATATATGTAATAAAAATTATATATATAAATCTCAATCGCTATTGAAATCTATATTACTTTTATATATACAGTACAAACACAATAACGTTAGGATTAGCACAAAAATGCCATTATATTTGCCATTATATTTCATTTTTATAGCCAAAAAAATACAGTAAATATCTATTGATATTATTAAACCAAACAGTCTATAACTTTATTTATGTTAATCTACTCAATACTATACTAACACATATATATACACAAATCATATCACAATATATACAGTATTGGAAATAATAAAAAAAGTTTAATAAAATATTAATACTTTCAATATGTGTCACATACAGTACATACAGTTAGAAAAAAAACAATATTGATATATATATATAAAACACATTTGTTATCTTAAATAACCTACTGTTGTATATTATAGCCAATAATACTGTATCTGTTATGTGTATTAGTAATATTGAAATATATTGTCTACTATATGTATGTGTGTGTGTGCGTGGGTGTGTATGTATGTATGTGTGTATGTGTGTGTATGTATGTATGTATGTATGTGTGTGTATGTATGTATGTATGTGTGTGTGTATGTATGTATGTGTGTGTGTATTTATGTATGTGTGTATGTATGTATGTATGTATGTATGTATGTATGTATGTATGTATGTATGTATGTATGTATGTATGTATGTATGTATGTATGTATGTATGTATGTATGTATGTATGTATGTATGTATGTATGTATGTATGTATGTGTGTGTGTGTGTGTGTGTGTGTGTGTGTGTGTGTGTGTGTGTGTGTGTGTGTGTGTGTGTGTGTATGTATGTAATGAACCCTTAGATGATGCCTTTGATTACAGGATATGAACTTTATTTAAACTTATAGTCAATTAACTATTAGTGTAAAGTAAAGTACAAACAATACAGTACCTATGTCACAGTATGTCACCTATTGATTATGTATTACTAATAAAGTTATTAAACTTTTAAACATATCACACATTAAACATTGATATTTTACATTATACTTTTATCATACACTAGGGGGTCGGTAATAGGGATTTTTAAATTTATTTATATAATTATTATATAACTATTATATAATTTATATAACTATTACATAATTATTAAAAAATTATTATATAAATATTAAAAATTATATAACTATTATATAACTATTATATAATTTATATAATTATTACATAATTATTATATAAATATTAAAAATTATTATTATTACTATAATCTTATATATATTAACTAACGTTATTTTATAACTATTTTATAACTATTATCTAACTATTATTTAACTATTATATAATTATTATATAACTATTATCTAACTATTATATAACTATTCTATAATATTACGTAACTATCATAAAATATTACATAACTATTATATAATATATGGTAAATAAAAAAAAAAGTATATATATATATATAACTATAGCTAAGTTTTCAATATATATTGATAGTAGAGCTAATAAAAAAAAATTTATAGCCAAAAAAATATTAAGATATATTTTTATTATTATTGCAACAAAATTAAATAGAAAAAAATATTTATTTTTATTATTTTTATATTCAATATTTTTCAACAATATATATATATATATAACTAAATTAATTATAATAAATACAATAAGAAATATTTAATTAAGTTTTTTATTATAATTATAATTATTATTTATCTATCAATATATCAGTTGCCATATCATTACTGGACTACGAAGTCATCCGTACCAATGCCGCCGCAATACGAGGACAGTCAGACTATCCTCACAACCACCACAACCAACAACAACAGGTCCGGTATACGACAGCTTATGGAGGCCACCAACAACAACAGCACCAACACCAGCAGCACAACCAACAACACCAACAGCATATCATTGCTAATGTCAAAGACCAGCCGCAACAACAACAGCCACAACAACAACACTTCCGGATTCATCAAACAAGGTATGTATATATATATATATATATACTACTGTCCCAATTAGATACTGGTGCTCATGAGTATTACCTATCAATCCCAAGGTCTCCCATCTATAATGCCGGACATCCAACTCATAGATAGCCAATCATATCAATCTACTACTAATAATAATAATACTAAATACTCGCCGTTTATCGCATCCAAATCACTTAACCGCCGAAGTCTACTACAACAACAACAACTACACAATCAGTCGTCACCAGTGGACAGCCGTCAGCAGCCTATATATGACGGCACCGTCAATGGTGGTCATCTTCAGCATCGCCAACAACAAAACAATATAGTGTACGGCTCGTCATCCAACACCTCCCGGCGCTCGGGCGGCAGCGGCAGTGGCGCACAGATACTCTATCCGGGCAAACATGGCTACCAAATAGCGCCGTCCGATTTGGGCGATGAACTGTTGCCAATAGTGCCGCCAATGAGACCGCCACTGCCCGACCATATCTACGAATGCATAGACGACCAGTGCTACTGTTTTGGTCCAGTTATCGGTAGCAGTCCCGCCGCAGCAGTAGTCCCATCGACAACAATGGCCGCCAAACAACGGGCCGACTATCGGACCAAAAAGTTTTACCGTGAATTCGAGTCGCCCGTCCATCGTATGGCCACTGGTAGTGGTGGCGGTGGCAGTCGGGCGCCGACATTGCGCAACGCCTCAAAAGCACCGGCATTTCGTGACCTACAGTACAGCGTCGGCGGCGGTGGCGGTAGTGATCGTAACCTATTGCGGACAATAGCGGCCACAGTGTTGAACAACAACAACAACAATACGGCCAAACCGTTTGCCGCCAACAATACGACGTTTACCGACTTTTTATTGGATACCACTGGCACCGGTAGCTGTCCATCGTCTACCAGTGCCGCAGCGCCGCCGACCATCACTGACCGCCAGTTTATCAGTAGCCCGACCAACAACAACAACAACGATACAGCACTACTAGGTCTGAGCAATACATCCAGTTCCCTGTCCAGCATAGAGGACGGCAGTAGTTGTTGCCACAGCACCAGTAGTAACGATACCAACCCGACGGATGAACCCCTGAGTACTACTACTACTGGTACTACTGGTGGTGGTCCTCAACACCACAAACAGTGGACACTTAATGGCCGCCAGTGATAGTGTGTATGTGTGTGGCCATCAATCGGGTGGTGCGGGGGTGGGGGTGGCGGCGGTCACTCCCAAACTATTAAACTTAAAAAAACTAATTAAAAATAAAAACATTTCGAGTGATTTGTGATGTGATTATTATTATAATTATTATTATAACTGATATCATAATTAATTAACTAATTAATTATGAAAAATAATAATATTATTATTAATATATTAATAGACAAAAATTTGTGACTATTTTTTCAATATATATATATATATGAACTCTAATTACGAATTAATAGAGAGATTTTTTTTAATAATAATAATAATAAAAAAAAAAAGTTTTTATACTAATAATAATAATTATTATTATTATAATAATGAATATTTAAAAAAAAACAAAATTAATTAATAAAGAGTTTAATAATAATTATAATATATTTGACAAAAAAAAACTAAAAGTTTTGTTTGGTTTCTCTGACATTACTAGTCATCAGTTTTTTTTTGTATAAAATATACTTTTATCTCAATGTGTCGATTAAAATGTGAAAAAAAACTAAAAAATAAATTTTTTGTCTTAATTATGGCAATTATATGGTGTGTGTTGTCATTAAAAAAACAAATTTATATATTTTTAGCATAACTTTGGAGACAAATATAATATAAAAAAAAGTGACAATTATTTGCTTATTTTTAAAATTTTAATACTAAAAAATCAATTCAATTCAAACTAATTTAATTTTTTTTTTGATTTTATTAAATAATCTCAACATTTATTATTAAAATAGAGAAAAAAAAATAATTTTGTTTCTAATTATATATCATTTTTTTGATATCTCATCGAAAAATTAAATAATAATAAAAAAAGTAAAAACAATTTCATACATAAATTAATTGTAATTTTTTTGTTGTTGTTTTTAATAAACTAAACCCCCATTTGTTGAACCATTTTTTATACCAGAAATAATTTCAGCAGTTTTTTTGTGTAAATTAATTTTTTGACACAAAAATAATAATTATTAATGTTATGTATTTTGTGTAATAAATATCGGAAAAATTATTATTATTATTGATTAATTGATAACATAATGATAATGATAATAGTGCTTGCTTATTTTTGTATCACATTTTAAATAAATTTAAATAAAACACATAGACATACATATATAATATAAAATTAAATTAAATGTTATCAAACAAACAAATAAAAATAATTATTGTAAATATATTTTACATTATAATTTATAAATTGATATAATTTTATTTGGACTCAATTAGCTGTTTATTTAAAATATTTTATTTATTTATTTGCTCAATAAAATTATATATATATAAAAAATAAAATATAATTATATATGACATGTATTTTCAATTAATTTGTTTGTTTTATTTTTTGGTTACATTAATGTCATATCAATGTTATTATTGATTATAAAATTAACTAATTAATTAATTAATTATAAAATTGAGTCCATTATTGTTTTAGTTAAGTGAAAAAAACTAATATAAAATTATTAAATTAAAATTAAAATTTTCATTAAAATTGGTTATCTGTAAATATATATAAATAAATAAATAAATAAGATATATATATATATGATTATAATTAACTTATTATAATTAACTAATTATTAGTATTAATGTATTAATAATTGAAAGAAAAATCTAATTATAAATATATATATATTAGTTATTTAAAAATAAATATATTATTGTAATAACGTTTTATTATTTCTATTGTAAAATAATCTAAAAAATATATATAAGAAAAATTGTTGTTATTAATTATTATTATTATTATTACTATTAATTAATTAATATTTTTAATTTAAACATTTTTTTTTGTAAATCCATCAAGACAATTTTGTGTAATGAAACAAAAATTTACTATTTGTATGTATAATAAAAATTATAAAAATAAAATCAATTTATATTAAAAATAAATGAGTTATAAAAATTATTTTAATTTATCTAAAAATAATTATTAATAATTAATAAAAAAAATTTTTATTTAGATTACTATATAATATTAGTTATCAAATAAAAGTTAATTTAATTTAATTAAATTAACAAAATATATTTCAACTAATTAGAGAATATTATTAATATTATTATTAAATAATTACTATATTATATAAAAGCATTTATAATACATGTAAACTGTATATAACTTTATTAAATGTAATTCATATGTAAAAACTAATGGATATTTAATAATAATTAGTGAAAACACATAATTTGCTAGAGCACTGGTAGGTAGGCTCTAACAACACAAACACAGTAAGTACTGTATGTATTTCCCAGAGGGTATTTATATAAAAAAAACTAACTGTACGGTTGGCTCCTATAGACTTCCAGTAGTAGTAGTAGTAATAGTAGACAACCTCTACTATTACCACCGGCACAGACACTAACACAACTGTCAACCGATAAGTGTCTGATAATAACTGTATTTGTATTTTCCAAGACATACCATACCATAGCATACAAACATATATATATATTTATGGTATATATAGATAACAAAACAAACCTAAACAATAAATATAGACAATCAGTCTCTGGTAGTGATGTTGTTGTTGTTGGTGGTGGTAGTGATGATGATGTGGAGGGGGAACTACCCCTCTCTCTATAAACACCTCCATGTGCTGCAGTGTGTGTGTGTGTGTGTGTGTGTGTGTGTGTGTGTGTGTGTGTATGAAAGTGATGGCACATTGAGGAGGAAATATAATATCCTTTTTTTTCACCAACTAATACTACTCTTGACTTTACTGTCATTGAAAATACATTATTTTTCTATTATTATTATTATTATTAGATTTTTTTATCTATGAATCTACTCTAGTATTGGATTTCATCGGTGACTACCAAATAAAATCAAAATCATAATCAGATACCAACTAAAAAAATATTTGTGAATTTATTATATATATATATATCATATTATATTATGTATGTAGAGTAGAGAGAGAGAGAGAGAGAGAGAGAGAGAGAGAGAGAGAGAGAGAGAGAGAGAGAGAGAGTATAACTCATATTACTTTAACGTTAAAAAATATTTAAGTTTTTTTGTTTGTTTGTAATATGAAATATAGTTTTACTATTAATGTTCAACAAATGGTTAAATCATTGTTATTTTGTTTTGATTTTTTTTGTTGTTGACATACATTACTAAATATATTTTTATGTATGTATAAAATTTCATATAGATTTATATATATCATATTTAATGGTTATATATATAGGATTACTATATATTTTTTAATTAACAAAATTGTAATTTAATTAAGTTTAATATTATATATTTTTTTAAATACAAAGTTTGAAACAATTTAATAAAAAAAAATTTAAATAAATTTTGATTTTTAGGTTTAATACCAACAAAAAAATCAAAATATTTATAGCAATTAGTGTTAATAATTTCATTATTAATATAACTAATATTTTATTTATTTTTTTTGAAGGAAAAAATAGTTTATATTATTGTTTAATACATTATTAATATATTCAAAGTGTCGGAAATTTTATGTCTAATATTTAACTATTGATTTGTTAAATACAGTAAATATTGTACAAACAAAAAGCAAACAAACTTTTTATTTGTTTGTTTGTTGATTATTACACACACACACACACACACACACACACACACACACACACACACACACACACACACACACACACACACATGTATTAAGTATTTAGTAGTTAAATATAAATGTAAATTATTTGATATGTATTTTCACTCAAAAAACATCACTTATTTTTTTGGGGGTCATATTGTGTGTATGTTTATTGAAAATTGAATGACAAGTCTATTGAATAGTAGTTTTTAAATTACTGTTTGCTTAAACACCAGTCAGACAGACAGACACCCGCCCGCCCCGTGTGTGTCATTTCATAGTTAACATACACACACTTATACACACTCACCCACACTACGGGTTGTTAACTACTCATTGAAAGAGAGAGAGAGAGAGAGAGAGAGAGAGAGAGAGAGAGAGACCATCATATCTAACATACAAACCGTTTTCAACAAAAAAAATCTATATATAAGTCTTTGTTTGTGTTTATACTGTATTATACATATCTGTCTGTAAAAGTCTGTATATTCAACAAATACATACCGAAGCCCTGTATTAAGTATACTAAATGAGAGAGTGGAGAGAGAGAGAGAGAGAGAGAGAGAGAGAGAGAGTAAAGTGAAAGAGACATTCAAACAATGATTAGAGAGAGAGAGACTGTGAAAAACTGACAAAACTATTATACATTTTATTTACAATTTTTTTGCAGATTTTTTTTTGTGCCACAAATCATATCTTATTCAACAATCAATTTTTTATAGTTTAATTTAACCGATTTTTTTTATCTACATTGTTGTATATATATGTGTGTGTGTATTGAATAAGTTATGTGTTAGGCATTCAATTTATGACATACAATGAGCACCGGGATCTCTCTCTCTCTCTTTCTCTCTCAAACACATACATACAGTACAGTACAAAACAGTCAGTCAGTCATCTAAACTTTTTTTTTTAACCACAGATTACATCTTAATTCATATATATTTTTTTCACTAAAGAAATCGTCTCTCTCTCTCTCTCTCTTTCTCTCTCTCTCTCTCTCTCTCTCTCTCTCTCTCTCTCACTCACTCTCTCTCTCCTATCCTATCTATGTATTTGTTGAACAATTATTATTATTATATTTTTGTTTTGTCAATACCTCCTCCTCCTCCTCCTGTGCTGACAACAAAAATAAAGCCATTCATTGAATCCAATTACTAATATGTGTAGTAATAGTATATGAATGCAATGTTTGTATTTTTTTTGTGTGTGTATAACAAAAAACATTTGAAATAGAGAGAAAAGAGAGAGAGAGAGAGAGAGAGAGAGAGAGAGAGAAAAAAAGAGATAGATAAAGATAGTAATTGTATATCAAAAAAAAAAAAAATAATAATATAATTATATTTTATATATCAACAAAAAAATATAGCAACAAATTGAAAGGTGTCACTAAAATGTTGTGTGTCTTTAAGCGTTTTAGTTATTTATTTATTTAGTTATTTATTTATTTTCTCATTATTTATATATATATATAACAAAAGTTATAACAACAACAAAAAAACTTTCAAT